GTTTTCAAATCCGATAACCTCTTAAAGCTGATACAAAACCTGTCCACCATGCATACCGATTCTGAGAGGGTCAACTGTATAAGGATCTACGTACTGCATAAATTCAATATAAGAATCTACGTACTGCATAAATTCAATATAAGAATCTACGTACTGCATAAATTCAATATAAGGATCTACATACTGCATAATTGTGCTCTTGATATCTATATAAAACATTTACCCTACCTGCATCAAAAAGTAACTTTTTTAATTACCCCGCTTTGGCGATCCCCCTTATTTGGGGCGGAGTAAATCCAATGTAAGGATCTACATATTAACTTTAATTACCCGCTTTAGCGAACCCCTTTATTTTGGACACTAATTGCCGGGCTAGTGATCCAAAACCAACTAGTGTGAGCTGCAGGATGGTAACGCCGGAAGCCCGTGAAAGCAGATGATCTATGTGGCACAGTAACGGATAAACGGTTATGTCGATCATCTACCTAAAATTGGTTTACCGCGATATTCACTGTATCAGTTCTGTAAAGGTAGGGTTGTTAATGGAGTATCTTGCTCCGGAGCACTGAACCCAACCTAAGTTGGAATGGGTTTAAACTTTTATCTTTAAATTTGGAGCAACCTGGAGCAACCCGAAGTAGCTATGGAGCAACTTAGAGTGAAATGCTGGAGTAAGTCTAATTTACTGGAGTGGGTTAAGAATTGGATCAACCCAACCCAACCCATTACAACCCTATGTAAAGGATATCAGCGTGATAAGGGTAATACGTGGGGAAAAGGGTATAATTATAATAATCAGTATAAATCCATCATACATTTATACATATCTGAATTTATCCGGATATCAATGGTAAAACGGATATTCGGATCTGGATATCTGATAGATAAATGGATTAACAGATAATGGATTAGAACTCTAGTATAAACATTTAATTAGCATAGACATTATAAGTAATATATCACGAATAGAGTTTATAATGTGCCCTATGTAAAAGAAAGTATATAATAAAGACTTCGAGCCCTACAACAATGTATTTTAAGGGTTAGAGAACTCATACAGGGGATCCCCAAAATTCCGGGTCGGAATACTTCGGAATCATGCTCGGCAGGGCCGGAATTAACTAATTTTGCCCAAGATCACTAAAAGTTTTACTAATGAAACCATAGCTCACTCATTAAGTAAAGCTGCCCAGCTGATAATTTTGGCCCAGAAATGGTTAACTTATATTACTAAATGCTAACTAAATGCTGGGCTAAATCCCCTGTATGAGTTAAGGTTAGAGGGTAATGTCGATCATTTTCATATGATCTGCATGGTAGATCAGAATTTTATATAGTGGTTGGCTAAAGAGGGAGTTTTAATGACGTATTGCATCTACAGCGAATCAAAGAACAAGATCAGGTGTAACATAAAATTAAAAAGACTTGTTTTATAATATTATCTATTCATTCCGAAATTAATCTTAACTTTTTAAGGATAAATGGCATGTAATTTGGTGTGAATAATTCCAGCCAATAGGAACCTGTGGAGAAAATTAGTAAACCCGTAGTTAGGGTTAGGCCATTCCAAGTTGATTTTTGTATTAAGTGAAGAATATAATTTCGATTTATGCAATATGAAAGTATGTCACTAATAAAAATTTCAAAGTTACAATTAATTTTTAAAATTTCATGACTTGTAGATAAAACCTTTATTTTATAATAGTCAAACTTTTAGAAGCGATGTTAATTTAAAAGAACGTCTCAAAATTTTCTAGGTAGTACGAAATTTCCGATTCTGATTGGTTGATGTCATATGATCTTTACAACTAAACTTTAAAATAATTATATCTTGCTAAGTATTTAATAATTTTGTTATTGTTAGAATCAGAAAAACCTACTTTACAATGTTACTTATAAGTATAAAAACAGTTTTATTAATATTAAATAATACCATCTACCCTTAAGTTCTCAAAAAAGTACGTACTTTAAAATGTATAAATAATAAGTCATCAAGACAATTGATTTACATCAATCAGTATATCAAGCAAACTTCTTCCTGAGATCATATTGATTTAATGAGATTGCTGAGTCGACTCAAAGGGTCGACTCTACTGACCTTTTTTATAACCCTGTTATTTCAAAATTTTCAATTCTAATCAATCGGATGGATCCGTAACAAATATAGTTTCATTGGGTGCCCTAATTTCCCCCACCACTTCACTTCACTATCGGAGAACTATAAAATTGATTAACAACATAGATTTTCCGATATGTAGAACCAATCATAAGGGGAAATTAGTAAATTCAGAATCATTCTAATCTAATTTTACCTTGGTCTGTCACAATGATATACCTTGCAAATTATCTATGAATTTCCTGTTTATTATAATCGCGTTACTCTTCTACCGCAATAGTTAAATCGAGTTTTACAGCCTACCCTCGTTATAACATGCTTCATTATAGCGGATACTGAGTAATTCTTTAGAAAAATCAAAAATTTTATTATTATACTAAGTAATGTTATAGCGAATATTTATTACAAAGGACAGAATTTCTCAATCCGATCATTACACTATAACGAGGGTAAACTGTACTTTGTTCCACTTCTATCACCATCGTTATTATAACTTTGAAAATAGAGTAATTATGAAATATATTTCTATTTTTATAAACTTATCTCTATTGTTATTTATTTTTACATTACAATGTTGCTCGAAAGATAATAAACATCCTTTAGCAAACTTATGGAACGTAACTGATGATTCTGAAGTATACAACTTACTATCAATTGAAAAGAAATTAATGTCGGTGGATAGAATCTTACAACAATTACTAGTTAGATATGCAACAAGCTTTGGAGGAACTTACATAGATATAAGAAAGAAGCGTTTAATTGTCCATACAATAGACCATGGGAAGGTCGACGAGATAAAATCTCGAATGAGAGAAAATGGCAGGTTTTTATCTTTTGAAAGTGCAACTTACGGTAAATCCTTGAAAGATTTAAAGTTCGCATTTGATGGGATAACCAAACTAGCTGTAGATTATTACAAAAATAAAGATAGTGAACTAAACGCTAACATTTACATTAATGTAAAGGAAAATAATGTCGTTGTAACCTTAGCAGACTTTGATGAATTAAACAATCAACCATTTATATCTTCCCTCATGAGATATAACCCTCTTATGACAATTTATTCAAAACACCCACCTGGTCCAGATATTTCTAAACGTCAAAGTAAAATCGGCAGACGTGACATATCTAAAAGGATTTTTAGTGGCGATGGTTTATATAATGCAGTTGGTAACTTTGAATGTTCAGCTGGCTTTTTGGCAAAAAGTAAAGATCTTAAAGATTATATTGTAACTGCTGGTCATTGTATTATAAAATCTGATACTCGTAGATCAAACGACTTTTATCATTCTCCATGGGATAGACCACCATCAAATGAAACATTAAATTATATTGGGGAATCTATATTTTCTAGTATAGCACCATATGATTTTGGTTTAATCCAAGTTTTCGGCAGTGATTCCAAACTATCATTAAGTGAGGTAAAGAACATAGATTATATCCGTTTTCCACAATTATTTATAACTAAAGTTCTGGCTGTATCTAGTTATGGTATTCATATATGTAAAGCTGGTTTCACTACTCATCTTACTTGTGGGCATGTAAAGGGGACTAACGGGATTGCTATATATGATGGTAATATTAAGAGGACATTAATCATTACAGACAACATTTCAGAAGTAGGTGATAGCGGAGGAAGTGTATTTTCGTTTGCACAAGATTTACGTTCAGTAGAATTACTTGGTATAACCATCGGAGGTACTTCTACAGAATCTTTTGTTTTACCAGTAGATATAATTCTCAGATCATTCGAAATACGTATTGTGACTTCTCAATGGCGGTCCTCGGGTTCGAGTTCAAGTCCGGGTTCGAGTTCAAGTCCGGGTTCGGGTTAATGGACAACGTTACTGGCATAGTTACGCAGCATATAGACAGATTTTCGTCACTTGGGTTTGAACCTTCACTTCAGAGAAAGCAAAGTTCGTCATTATTCAAATTTAGATGGCAAGAGATTTATGGTTAATAAATGTAATTCTAAGGACTTCGGAAAATTTTTTAATTTTTTTTTTATGTAAAGTCCTGTGAAGAGTGATATGGTGTTACAAGCGATGGGACTACAGAGGCGATGCTTAATTGTCACACTTAATAATTTACTGAAAGTGACACTTCAGAAACTAAGAATAATTATAATAAATTTATTAGAAGACTAAAATTACCAAAATCACACCTCTGGCGAGTTGCCTTACCCCATATTCCCTTGTATTCATTAATAATATTATATGATATTCACCTTGTGACGATGTCATTTATTTCTTTCTTAATTCAGTAGTTATAGTAGATACATAAAAACTAGAGACTAGAGCAATGATTAGACCACACAGACATATACACTGTTGGCCCTATCAAAACCGCTGCATTGGTTAAGGATGTTAAATTTCGAATTTAGTCCGGTCCGATCCTAGGATCTAAAAAGACAGTCCTAGACTCGATCCTTCAAATCACATGAAAATACAATACATTTTATAGGACTTGGATCCTGAATGAATCTATCGAATAAGTTTATCCAATCCAATTAATTTTGTATTGTTATAATAATTCAATTCAGGATCCAAGTCCTATAAGGTGTATTGTGTTTGCATGTGATTTAAGGACCGAGTCCTTACCGATCCTGTAGGTCTTTGTAAGGACCGGCTAGTATTCGGTCCCAAGAGACGATAGTATTGGTTAAAATATCGCGTAATCACGTGTCGGAAATTATCCAATCAAATTGCGGAATGTAGTGAAACGCCAAATTCTTTTAATCCAAGGATTTCCTGAAACCGAATTTTATTTGTTCAGGTACTAAATTACGGTAATTTACGTAATTTGTGTAATTTTGCGTAAGATTAGGATAATGTTACAAATCGGACCAAAAAATGCAATCGATTAGTCATCCAAAAATTTTTTAAAAAAAATCGATTGAAAATCAAACTAATTGATTAATCGATAAGTCAATTAATCGATTAGTCGACTAATCGATTAGTTGGCATATCGCAACGGCTTGGATATAATTGCGTAGCTACATGATACTGTATAAAACAACTAGTCGATTAGTCAACTAATCGATTAACTAACTAATCGATTAATCAGTTAGTCAATCGTTGACAATCGATTAGTTGTCTAATAAAATTATCAATCGATTAATCGCCAACTCGATTAACTAATCGATTAATCGATTTTCGATTTGGAACACTAGTCCGATAATAAACTTTCATGATTGTCGTCCTGACAGGCCATTTAATACTAATTCATAAGTTCCCTTAACCTCTATAATCGTCAAATTGATAGTTTAACCGCATTTTGAGTAGGTGGTGGGATTGACAAAACCAGACTAAATGTCGGGTTCGCAAAAAAAATAGAGACATCTCTTCTTCTATTCATTACAATACTCAAATACTCAAATCAATTCAACTCATGAGCGTCATCCGACTTACTAATCGTAACCATTACCTCTTACTCTATTTCGTTACTAATACGATCGTCATACTAAACTTACGTTAATACATGTGACTGTAACTGGGCATGTCACATGCCTGGTCATGAGCTGATTCGAGACAAGATACTATGGGGTAAAAATTATAGTAATCTGATTGGTTAATTATCACGAGTAATCACAGGTAGATCTACAAAAATTAACCAATCATATGAATGCCTTCCTATGGGAATTTAACATAACAGCCAATCATATTTTAGAGAGTCACCAGTTTCACCAGCATTATCAGCAACTCTAGTTCGAACCTTCATTTTGGCGATAGATTACGTTCGTCTCTATTCAAATCTATTAGTAAAATGTACAAATAAAAATAACTGGAAAGAAAAAAATATTCGATGATGATACGTAAAATAATTAAACCTAAGGCCTTTGCGATGACCAATCTAAAAAATTTCTCTATTAGCGTTAGCGTATATTTTTGGTTTGATTTTATGTCATACTTGACCTTGAGATTCGATTTGATCGGATAGCTAACTTTAGATCACTGCTGATCAAATAGTAATTAGGTTAAAATCAGGTACCTGATTCTTAGCTGATTTTTTTTTATATTTCGACTACGTAGTGACTATGATGGTTATTTCAATTTTTTTCATATGAAGTCTTTGAGATTAATTATATAACCTGTTATTATACTGTTATAAGATGATTTCTTCGATAAATAGTACAATTTAATTAATTTATTATCTTGCAATTGCGCTTTGTTTAATTCAATGGCTATATATAACAAATCAAGAAACGGTTATAATAGTTTTAATATAAAATCAACAATCTTTTAGAAAACACAGAATAAATAAAGCATACAGTCGTCCCTCATTAATATCAACCTAGACTATAAACCAAATTTTTATAAATTTTTATTTATTAAAATTTCCTTATATATATCAACTTTAATATAATTCCTCATTAATATCACTATCAAACAATCCAAATAGATTGATATTAATGAGGGACGACTGTATTAGATAAATAACACTTTGCTTTTGGTTCAAATCGTATTATTTACAAATAAATATCAGGGGTTAATAGAGTTATTAGTAAATTAGTAAAAATACAATGGTTCTTATTATACGTCTAATAGCTTACTAATATATAGCTAAATATATAGCTAAATATATAGCTAAATATATAGCTAAATATATAGCTAAATATATTAGTTCTAATACGTGTATACTGTAAATGACATAATTTAAACCACAAATTAGAATACAAAGTTTTTATAACATTTGCCAAGTATTTTATAAAAGTCGTATTAGTTCTTTATAAAAACATTTTAACTAGTAAATTATATATTTTGTAAAATAATATAGATGACTAGTCTATAATAAATGCAAAAAAACTTATAAGCTAATACGATATATAGTGTTATCCGGCTAAGTCACGTGCCACGTGACACGGCTAACCAAATAAGGGTGACCCGGCTAGAAAAATCAG